CGGGGTTTAAATCACTAGGCTGGGCTGGTGGAGAATAGAATTGGAAGCATTTTACAGTCCTTTCTGGAGTCCATCAAATCCTCATTATGAGGCCAGGTTATTCTTTTTAAAAATCTAAATCAAATGGGATTATCATGAAGGGAGCTGAGATCTGAGTACTTGAAATTATGTTGGATGGTCAAGGCCAGGGAGAAAATGGTAGAGTAAGCTAAGGATTGAAAAGATGACCCATCTGAAAGCTATAAAAGGGAAAAATAATAACAATGTGCCCATCTTTTCTAATTCTATCAAGGGGAGAGAATGGACAAACTCAGTCTTTAACAGTCATCCCAAGTGCAAAAAATAGGATACCCTTTAATCATATATGTTGGCAGAAAATCCTCTTCTCTGTAATAAAGGCAATGTGTACATCCTCAGGGCATAAATCAGGTCTACTCTAATGTAGTCATGGCCATACTCTTAACCTATGCCAATGATTGGCCTAAGAGTGAGCATGTGATCTAGTTCTAGCCAATAAACACAAGGAGAACCCCATCTGTTGTCTTTTGGGAAGAGGATTTTCTTCCTGGACAGAAAAAAACACAGTGTTTGGTCTCACTGAGCATTTTCTTCCTTAGAAATATGATTTGTAAGGATATAACTGCGGCAGTCATCTTGGTACACTAAGGAGGATAGAACAGCAGAATTACGAGTCCTTGATGACAGTAATTCTCAAATAACTCTGAGACCTCCTGTCTCTGGTCTCGTGTTATATAAAATAGTAATGTTCATATGGAGTAAGCCATCATAAGACTTAGAACTTTTAAGCCAAAGTGTAACAAGGTTTTTTCGTCAAGGATAAGATAGGAAATATTTTCAGCTTTGTGGACTACATGATCTCTTTCACAAGTACTCAACTCAGCCATTGTAGCATAAAACAGCAATGAACAATACATAAGTTAAAATCTTTATGTACATAAACTGTTAGCAGACCAGATTTGGCCCATGGGCAAAGTTTTCCATCTCCATGTTTAAGACATGGGTACTTTCATGTCACAAATATTTATTAACTATTCCCAGTCACGGATCTGGGTGCAAAAATCAAAAGAGCCAAAATGAAAACAGATCAGGACTCTGACCTCTGAAGCTTATCACACTGCTCAGGCATGCATAAAATAAACAAATGAATAAAGGGGTTGGTGAGAGAAGGAATTCTGATGACATTTGAGATTTAAAGAATGAGAAGGAACTTGGTGCACAAAGAAACAGGAAGATCCTACAAAAAGCTATAGAAATTGAAAAAGCAAAGACTTAAGGACAAGTCTTTGACATATTCAAAAGAAGAAGGATGAACAGGGAGGAGAGAAGTAGGCAGGGACCAAAGCATGTGGGGTTTGGGAGCCTGGGAAAATACATGGGTTTGATAGCAAAGGTGATGCAGAATTCTACAGGGAGGAGCAGTATAGCAAGGATTTATATTTTAAAATCATCAACTGGCCATTACATGGATTGAGGAAGGGCAAGAGTTAAGCAGAGATGATAGATGGGAAGCTACTGCGGCAGTCCAACAATTTCATCAGAAAGGTCTCAATTCTGCCAAGTTCTGTGTACAGTGGATTCCCCATAGGAGGAAAACCTGGGAACCAGAATAGGAAGAAGACTACAGAAAGACAGACTGCCATATTTATGAAGATATTTATGAAGCCCCTGTCTAATGAGGTCCTGAGACGAGGTTACCTGCTGCCATGAGCCAAGAGCTGTGGTGGCACCCCGGCTTGTCCTGGGTCTAGAAGGAGAGGCACAATTTGATGGCTCTCGTTTGTCATGTTGGGGAGCCAAGGGGTTGCTGAGGCATGGACTTGCCACTCTGCCGCATGCTTCCTGATACTGAGCCTTTTTTTTTTTTTTTTTGGTACCGGGGATCGAACTCGGGTCCTTGTGCTTGCACAGCAGGCGGCGAAACCACTGAGCTAAATCCCCGGCCCCTGATACTGAATCTTATACTACATCACCACAGTCCATAAAAGACGTGGAGGTGGGGTGTGGGTTGGATTGTGTATTAATTTCTCACTTCGTCCCACAGAAGATTTGAGGCAGCTTTTGAGAAATACATGTAACAAAATATAAAGATATAAATTAAATATATCAATACTAAGGAAAATATAAATCAGATAAAAGATCAAGACCCAGAGGGCAGAAGAGAAAACTAAACTGCAGGTTATTACATCCTGCCTGGTTGCTATCACAAAAAAGAAAGAGGTGGAAAATTCCATTTGTTCACTGATTCCTTTTGTCTTATTTATAGGCTCTTCAGCACTATAGACCATCCCATATTTAACCAGCCTTTGGGGCCTTCTGGCCAGCCGCATGGTGACCACAGGCCTGGTGGAGGTGTTCACAATGAAGGTCCCAATTTTCCCCGTCTTTGCGGTGCTCACAGAAACAGCATTCCTCCACTGTGGGTGGGGAGGAAAAAGTACAGCTGGTAGTCACAATTTTCTTCTCAATTGCTTTCTTCTGGCCTCCATTTAGCTTAATGATTTTCCAATCAAATTTGAATTCTTTCACATTAATAAAGTCAAAATGCTAATGAGCAAGGCAAATGGAACCAAGACCTGAGATAGCATCCTCAAGTAACTTGGGAAAGCATTTACGTTCATGGGGCCAGAGGTCCTGAGGGTGAGTCAAGGCTGAAATAAAACTAACAAGGGGAACATCGATGGAAACAAGCCTGTAGTGGCCAGACTGGCTCATGCCTTGATCCAGAGCTAAATTCCCATTAACCCAGACTGGAGAGCTCAATATTCAGCTTAAACTAAGGCCACCTTGAGCGAACCACATTCCTCTTCTGCCCTCCGCAGCAAAGGGAGACTGGCTAGATTATCAGGAAGGTGCTGGCTTCTAAACTACTAGGAGGGAGACCGCAGCCCCCAAAGGGGAGAGATACTCTTAGCAGTTGAAAGCCACAAAACTCTTCCCCATCTGAAACTATCTCACCTATGTCCCCTCTCTGCCCCTCCTTCTCTGACCTCCTCCATCATCCAACAAACACCCTCCCACTGTGCTCTGCCCAGTCTTTCTCTTTAGGCCCTTGGTGGCTCCCTCTCAGGTATTTCTGACCAGGTGTTCCTCGGGCACTCCAAATCCTTCCCTGTGCACTGTTCCCATGAGCAGGCAGGCAGGAGGGACCACTTCAGACCCCCCATCCCTCCAAACCCACCACCTGCACAATGACACCTGGCCTAAGCAGATTACCCGCCAGGCTCCAGCCCGCTGGTCCAAGTACATAGGCTTCACCTGTGCCGTGTCACAATCCACCTCTGTCACTGAACCTGATGGGGGAGACAGGGCACATCATGAAGGACAGCCTCAAGATCTAAAGTAGGAGAAGGAGGACCTCCCTGTTAGTCTAGAACTTTGCTAGTTTTAAAACTAACAGTCCTAGATCCAGAAACCTCTTTAGCCATGAGTAAACTGGGGAGGTTGGTCACCCTCTAAGTGAACTAGATTTAGGATTAAGAACCAGCTTCCAGGTTAGCTGTATTCTGTAACCATTGGCAACACACATTTCCTTCTCTGTAAACTTGCGAGTTAATCCTTTCCCTGCCTACTTCCCTGGGCTGTTCTAAGGGTCACATCAGATAATGGATGTGAAAGTGCCTGGAGAACACTAAAGCACCAGACAGATGTAAAAGGGGTTTTATTACCCAGTGTTTATGACCCAGAGGCCAGAGTATTAGCAATTTCAATTAATCAAATAAATGGAAAAATAAATTGATTTTATGGAAACAGATTCTCACACCTTGCCAAAGGTTCAGGGCTGGGGCACAAGAAAGGAAAGAATCCAAAGGGCACATGGCTCTGGCTCGGCTAAACCCAAGCAGAAGCTTGCTCAGACCTGCCTGTGCTTTAGGAGCCGGAAACGTCTCTGCCTGAGACCTACAGCCTCAGCTCCAGGTTGTGGTCTCATCCCTACCCTTTTTCAGCCACAGAGAGAAAATACAGTGTGTTCTGAATCATGAAGGCTGGGCTGAATGGTACTGGATGTATGGGCTGAACATAACTGGTGGAGGGCTCCACCAGCTGCTGGAGTGCTTACCCTTGAACATTGGTGTGTGGAGTGCCCTGGGCTTCCAAACCCCTGCACAGGGTCTAACCTGCTCTCCATGAGCCCTCTTTCCTTCTGCAGTTTCTACTACAGAGATTGTCTTCAGACACTGATACAAAATATTTTTCCTAAACGAGACAGGCAATCCTGATGCTTAGAATTGAATTTCAACTTGGTTATGACAAACTGGATCCCTTCCTCTGTACTGAAAGGAAGGGTATGGTTGGGGCCTAGAATCAAACTCTACTGGACAGACAGATAGCACAATGCCCACTGTGAAGGCAGAGAAATAGCCACATATAAACAGCTGCAATTTAAGACTTCTAAGTCCACAATAAGAAATGGGTTCATCCTTGCCAACACAGACTTGGGCAGGGTGAGTGACAATCTCATCGATAATTTGTGAGTGAGGTTTGCAGAGCACAATTTGTAGTGCAGATCGTCTGTCCCTGTATAATTAAGACTGGATTGTACCCAGTTCTGGTTTATGAGTTTATGGAACGAGGCACTGTGAGTCCAATAAAGGAAAACAACACCAGCAATAATGGAACCAATAGGCTCCTCTCCCCTCCAGCTTAACTAATGAATGAGACCGTCAGAAAAGAAGCTTTGTCTTATACCAAGCCACTGGCAGATTGGACCTTTGCCATCAGCCTTTGTGGAAGTAACTGGTGACCCTATATTCTTTCCCTTGATAAGCAAAGTGACATCCAGTCAGCCCCCACTCCACCTCTTTCGTTCCCAGCATGAGTAATTTTATTCACTGATGAATTCCACTTTGAAAAGCCAAAAGTAGTAAGAACAATGGGGATTGGCCTCAATTAAAATAACAGTGCCTGTTGCTTTTTAGCATGATAGAAGTTTTAAAGTTGGCAAATATTCTTGAAGCTCACCTCTTTATTTTGCAGAAGAGAAAACCAAGGGTTGGAGTGTGTATGATGTCTTATCAGTCAAGACCAGCCAAGCCTGTAAGCCTGTTCCAAAAACAAAGACTAAAATCAGAGCATTTTGATTTGATCAGTAAAATTCCACCACATATGCTGTATGATGAATATTTTCTATGGGCAAGTCACTGTTCTAAGAGCTCAATGGGCATTCCCTTATCTAATCCTTGCGACAACCTTGTGAGGCAGTTATTATTGTTATCTTCATTTTACAAGTGGGGAAACCAAGGCACAGAGAGCTCAAGTAACTTGCCTAAGGTCACACATCTAGCAGACTAAGCTGAGATTAGACATCAGGCTCCAGATACCATGCTGTCAGACCCTCACTTCTTGACTATTCTGCCTTTCAGCTGCATATCCTGCAAACTGGCTACTTGTAAAAGTCTCCAATTTATAGACTGCCTCTTCTTTTGCTCAGTTTTTCTTTTTTTAAATTTTTTTATTAATGTATAACTTCATTATCGTTCACTAAACACACACATGTACAAAAATTAAAATTATTCAAAGAAAAACAATCCAAGGAAAAAAGAACTATAATAATATTCAAATGTAATAGAACTCAACCAAAGCAAAACTGAAAAGTACTTAAACATTTCTCCATATAATTTTAAAAAAACATCTCAAGCATTGACAAGACATCAGAAGATGTGATTTGTTTTAGAAAGATTCTCAAAACTAATACTGAACAAATAGTAGTCTGGAGAAAAAATTCTAATTAACTAGTAGACTCCACATAGGCCAAATTAATTTTGATTTAAATTTCAGTATAGTCATGTGACACCTGATGAAAATATTATCTGAGAAATACATTATTAGGCAATTTCATCCATGTGTATCGCAAAGTACCACACAGAGTGCCAACTTCTAAGTGCAAACTGAAAAGGTATACTTCAATCATCTGTGATGGCCCCTTGATATTATCCAAATACGCAGTTAAACAAGAGATACATGAGGCTACCACTGGTATAGCAGCACAGTTTTACAGTAAACTCTTTTATATAAGTAGGATTATGCTCTAAAGGATGAAAAGCACAGTATGTTATGATAAGTACATAAAACAGTAACAGTCATCATCACACTATCGAATACTGTGTACTGTACATAGTTGTATGCGCTTCTTCTGCAAACACCCTTCTCTCCTTTGATCTTAGTGACTCTTCCTTCCCAACCCCTGATGAGCTCCAGCCTAGTCTCTATCTACATCTCTTCCTATAGTTTTAAACACAATCTGTATATGGATTCTTTCCAGATTTCAGCCTGTAACCTGATCTCTCCCCTTCCCCTCCTGCCACCCCTCCCCTTTGAACAGTTTCTCACACCAGAGAAACTATCCGGTATTTACCCTTGAGTGCCCTATTTATTTCACTTAAGAGGATGGCCTCAATATACATCCATTTAGCTATAAGTGTCTCTGGTTTCTCATTCTTTATGGCTGAGTAGTACTCCATTTTATAAAAAAAAAAAACACATCTTCTTTATCCAGTTTCCAGTCAATGGGCACTTGGGCTTTTTCCAAGCTTTAGCTATTACAAACTGTGCTGTTATAAACATGGGTACACATACATCGCTGTGGTATGATTCTTTTAATTCTTTGGGGAAGATACCCAGCAGGGGAATAGCTGGGTCAAATGGGACCTCTAGCCCTAGTTCTTTGAGGTATCTGCATACTGATTTCCACAGTGGTTGCACCAGTCTGCACTCCCACCAAGAATGGAGAAGGGTTCCTTTCTCCCACACCCCCACCAGCATTTGTTATTGGATGATTTCTTTATAACAGCCATTCTTTCTGGGGTGAGGTGGAATCTCAGTGTTGTTTTCATCTGCATCTCTCGAATGACCAATAAGGTTGAACATTTTTTCATATATTTATTTGCTGCTTTTACTTCTTTGTCTGAGAAATGTCTGTTCATTTCAGATGCCCATTTTTGAATTGGGTCTTTGAATTTGGGGGTCTGATTTTTTTCAGTTCTTTATATATTCTAGATAGTAGTCCTTTGGCTAAGGTACAGCTGCTGAAAATTTTTTCCCACATTGTAGGTTGTTTCTTAGCTCTTTTAGTGGTTTCTCTTGCAGTGTACAAGCTTTTTAATAAGATGAGATCCCAGTTGTTGATTCTTTGTGCTGGTTCCTGTGCTACTGAGGTTTTGTTCATAAAGTCTTTTCCTATGCCAATGTCTTCAAGAGTTCTATCTAACTTATTTTCCATCAAGTTTAGTGTTCCTGCCTTAATATTTAGATCTTTAATCTGCTTCAATCTTAGTTTAGTGTATGGTGATAGGTATGGGTCTAGTTTAAATCCTTGGCAGGTTGAAATCCAGAAGAGACCTAGAATAGCAAAAGAAATTCTAGGCAACAGAGACATGGCTGGGGGTATTACAATCCCCAACTTGAAACTATACTACAAAGCTACTGTGATAAAAACAGCATGGTACTGGCAAAGAAACAGACCTGAGGATCAGTGGAATAGATTAGAAGATTCAGAAACAACTACAGATATACTCAGCCACCTCATCTTTGACAAAGAAGCCAACCATCCTCATTGGAGTAAAGATAGCCTATTTAATAAATGGTGTTGGAAAACTGGATTTCAACCTGCCAAAGATTTTGCTCAGTTTTTTAAAAATGTATCCATTGATTCATTCACCTATAAAAATTAATTGAGCATCTATTCCATACCAGATTCTGGAGGCTCGAAATAAGTAACACTCAATTTCTACACTCATTAGCCATTAATGTTCCTCCCCTAAGTGACGATCTTATTTTACAGACTGTATTAGTTTTCTGTGGCTGTTGTAACAAATCACCACAAATTCACTGGCTTGAAACTATACTCATTTAGTATCTTCTAGTTCAGCAAGTCAGTGTGGGTAGCCTTGCCTGAGGTCTAGAGCCTCACAAGGGTAAAGTCAAGGTGTCAGTCAGCCTGAGCTCTTATCTGGAGGCTTTTGGGGGAAATACATTTCCAAAATCACTGATAATTTGGCAGAATTCAGTTTCATGCAGATGTAGAATGGAGGTCCCCCAGGGCTGCCCCATGTATTGGCTCATAGCCCCCTCTGTTTTCAAGGGCAAAGGCAGCATGTTGAACCATTGTACTTTGAATCTCTGCCTTTACCTTCAATCCCTTCTCTTCGGACTTTCAGGACACATAGAGTTACATGGTGCCCACCCAAATGACCTGGAATAATTTCTCTATTTTAAGGCCAACTGATTAGTAACTTTAATTATATCTTCAAAGTCTCTTGCAGTTAATGCAACATATTCATGGGCATGATACCTCATCAGGTATTCAGAGATTCTGGAGATGAGAGGTGTAATCTTGGTGAAGGAGGCATTCTTAGAATCCTGCCTACTATGTAGGCTAAATGAACGGTACTTGAGGTGGGTGCCCTTATGCAGAAAACATTATTAGAGTGTAGTGGTGTATCCTGCAGGCCTTTAGGCCAGTTGGATTTATTTTTTGAATCCTGAGGAATGCTAGCAGAAGACATTACTACCACATTGTCCAGTATTAGCTGAGAAACAGCAAGAGTAAATCCTTGGGAAGATGTGCCTGAGATCCCAGGGTCATAAAAGCAAGAATAAAGAGAAAATGCTGAGCTGGAGTCAATCCTGGGTCTTTGCTCTTGCTCTGAATTCCTACTTCTAATTCTGAGCTAATCTGGCTGAGGTAGGAGGCCATTAAGACACTCAGCTTCACCTACTAATGCAACCTATCATTGGTCTAAGTGCAACAGACCTGCTGTCCAATGTGTCTGTTGCAGGCCCTAGGCACCTCCATGTCCACCAAGTGGCATCATTTTCATTCTTCCATGATATTGATCCAATCTGAAAGCAGTTCCTGCTCAAATCTTTGCTCTCCAACTCACATCTGCCTCTCCTATGTACACATCTCCCCCACCAAGGTGGACAAAGCTCCGCTTAGATGGAACCCTACACCCCAAACCATCTTGGTTATTGTATTTCTGACTTGAAGTCTGACCTGCCACCAGTACTCTTGCTGCTGGGTACCATCCATGAGGTTGAATCCTGCTGGGATGGACACCAATCCGCACAGAGCCTGAGTTCTCCACTAGTTTGAATACTCTAAAGTGGGCTGGTGGTCAAGTGGGCACCATCCCTAGAGTTCAGGCTGGTATTGAACAAGTTTCTCATGAGTGTGGAATGAAAAATAAATGGAGTGGATCCCTAACCACCCTGGTATATAGCTCTCTGTTCTCCCCTCCACCTCCAGAACTGTGCTGCTGTTGTGATTTGGATCTAAAACCTCCTCCCAGAAGCTCATGTGTTCAAAGGTGGGGCTTTGGAAGGAGATTGAATCATGAGTGTTCTAATTTTATAAATGGGTTAATCCACTGATGGATTCGTATTGTGATGGCATTATTAGGAGATGATGGAAATTTAGGAGGTGGAGCCTAGTTGGATAAAGCAGGCCACTGGGAGAATGGCTTTGAAGATGACACCCTTGGCCCCTCTTCTCTGGCTTTTCTCTCTGTCTCTCTGATTCCTGGTGCCATGAGGTAAGCTGCTTTGCTCTTCATTGCTCTTCTGCCATAATGTACTACCTCATCACAGGCCCAGCAGTGATGGAGCAGCCAACCATGGACTGGGATCTGTGAAACCATGAGCCAAAATAAAACTCCTTTAAGTAGACTTTTTCATTGTGGTCTTTTGTCACAGTGATGAAAACCTAACTAACACAGCTGCTGAGGTCCTGGCATGCCCAGGGCTAGAATTCTGGATTACTTGTACCCTGTAACAACCTCCAAGGAGCCTCTGAGTAGGAATTGCTTGTCTCTCTTCTGAGACTCACATGATTTGAGGGCTCCACTTGGACTTTGGGCTGAAGACAGACTACACTATGCTCTTAAAGCAGTGGGCTCTCCTTAACTAAAGTGCAGTTCACATTACCTCTCTTGCAGCACTGATAGGCTTCTCCAGGGCAGTGTGTATAAAGCACAGCACTCGCCAGCAATGGGGAGATGGTAGCCATGCTCACTGTCCTCTCCAGCCCTACGACAGAGGACTCTGGCCTGGAGAGCGAGGGAAGGAGAGGAAAACATAAGAGGGAAAATGAAGGAGCCGTGAATCACCACAAGGTAATGTTTCATGAGCACATACCACATGCGAGGCACACATCAGCAGAGCATATTACAAACACCAACACATATAACTCTTACAACACCCTATGGGACAGGTGCTGCTATCACCTTTTCTAGAAAAAGAAACCAAAGTCTAGAGAGGTTCCATAGCTTCCCTAGCACTACGCTGGTAAAACTGATGTGATCCCAGCTCAGGTCTGTCACACCCAAGAAGCAGATGCCCCTTCCTTTCTCCTCAAGCCCCAGAGCTGGTGTGTAAGGGGAAGGAACAGAGTAAACACCCAGTCTTCACCATCCCACACCCGCATTGCCAGGGCAAGAGCATCGGAATGCGCTAAATTCCTGTAAGAGCTCACTAGACCCTGACAAGTACCCTGTGAGCTAAGTACCACTATTACCATTTCCCAGTTGAGGAAATCATGCACCCAAGTAAGACACACAAAGTCACACAGCTAGTGAGAAATAGAACAGGGTCAGCAGCTAGGCAGGCAAGGGCCACAACTTGTACTCTAAAGGCTATTATTACCTTTTCAGCCATATTTAAAAGGCATGGAAGAGAAAGATGCAAACCTGATTCTGGAAGGAGTGAGGCCGCCTGCCATGTCCGGGGCATCCTACTAGGGATGCAAACAGCAACAAGCAACAAGCCCAGGCTGTGAGCGGTTTGCCTGAGCTAGAAGCAGGATTTGAACTGAGTTCCCTCTGAATCCATTAAAGAGACACTTGAAGCACATGTGGAAGTGTTAGGAGAATGTGGTCCAGCCGTGCACAGAAATCTGGGGCAGAAGAAGAAAATGAAAGCTGAGGGTCCCAGGGCCCAGGCAGGGCAGCATAGTCTAGGTGGGCTTCTCAGAGGAGGTGAGAGAGAAGGCAAGTGAGGGTGGAGCTGCTTGGATGCTTTGGTTCTGACTAGAAACTCTGTTCAGTTTTTTTCTTTTTAAGTACGTGCATTGGATTTCTATAAATAAATGATAAACTGTTTCCAAATCAGATCTTATTTCCATGTGTTAACAACTAATTACTGGCTCACTCGGCAGCAGCCCCTCTCTAGTCTGCAAGCCATCAGCTGTGGTGGCTTTGCTTGAAGCATGCATGTTTAAAGAGCCCCTTGCCTCTCTGCCCTTCCTGTTGAAGGAGGTCTGCTCAGGAACAGGCTGTCCCGCCCCCCGCAAGAGTCTGCTGAGTCCAGAGCCACTTGACTCCCTTGCTTCAAACCCAGCTTTCTTGATGAGGAAATACAGGCAGGTATTTAGAACTCCACTCTGTGTGCCATCCCTGGGAGCCTAGGCTGAAATTTATCTTTGTGTGTTTTGCAAATAGCACTGTCCAGGGGCCAAGTACTGCCCACTGATGAGGGCAAGCGTGTGCAATTCCTTTGGGAGGAGGACAAGTCATAAGTGAATGTGGCAACTTCAAAGCACCACCATTAGCATTATTGTGGACAAGCTATGACCTTCCACAGGGCCCCTTTATGTACCCTTTTTTTAAGGAGGGTGGTGTTATTGGCAAAACTCTTCCTGAGTGTTATTATTAATACCTAAAAGTGGCAAAATATTGTTTCTTTTCATTATAATCTACACTTCAAAGTGCTCCCCAGTCCCGACCAATTGATCTCCCATTTGTGGAACTATTATGACATTCTATGGAACTTTCCTTTTGTGTTAAGACTTTACATGGATTATCATATCTAACCCTTAGGAAAGCCCTGAGAGATTATTGCTAGCTCCACCTCCCACCTCACAGGAGGAAGAGAAGGCTGGAGAAGGTCAGAAATAAATCACTCCTTCAGTAGCTGCAGAGTGGACCCTTCCAATAGGTACAGTGGGCAGGAATATTTGAAATCTGTCCTCCAGCCTCTTTGTCATCATATGGGAAATGGAGATGCTTGAAGAACAGGATCTGGTCTTACACCAGCCAATGACAGACCCAGAACTAAGACCTGACCTCCCAGTGTCATATTTTTGGTTTTGCTGACACAGCCAGACAAACTTAAATCCATCCTACTTCCACTATTTATTAACTGAGTGCCCTTAGGCAAATTGCTAGACTGTTTCCTCATCTGTCAAATAGGGATATATGCACATACCTTGCAGATTTGCAGCAAAAAGATAGGATGAGAGTACACTCAAACAAACACTTGGACACAATAAGCATATCCTTCTTTCCTGCTCTCTCCAAAGCAAAGCCTCTAAGATTGAGAAAAGCCACATCTATTGATCATCGTGGAATATTTTGGTAAAGACACATGCGATGTGTATAATTAAAGTGAATTAATGTCCTTGAAAAGGAAAGTGTCCCTATTAACTAGCAGTTCTCAACCAAGGGTGATTTTACTACCCAGGAGACATTTGACAATGCCTGGAGACACTTTTGCTTGACATAGCTGAGGGGGAGAGTAGAAGATTTTCTATAGGCATTTTAGTAAGTAGAGGCCAGGAATGCTGCTAAAAAATCTGCAATCAATCACAGCACAACTCCCCACCCAACAAGGAATTAACTAGTCAAAAATGTCAATAATGCTGCTCTTAAGAAACCCTGCCATAAATCAATATGAAAAAGATCAATAGTTCAATAGGAAAATGGAGAAAGGATATGGAGAGGAGAGATAAAGAAATGGAAGCAGAAATGGCCCATAAGCTTGAAAAGTGTCCCATCTCATTGTTACCAGGGCAATGGAAATTAAAACAAGCAAAGGCACTGTTTTCCACCATGAGATGGACAAGAATGTTAAAGTCTTGAGAGTATCACGGGCTGGTTAGGTGGCAGAGCAATGGGAAATTTTATGCTAGCAAGCACAACCACTTGGAAGAGCGACTTGGCAATATTTTATCAAAGATACCCATAGCCAAATTCTACCTTTCAGAAATCCTCCTCCAGGTGCAGAAAGAGACATGCACAAGAAAATTAATGCTAGCACTCTATTAGGGAGAGGTTAGGAGAAGAGTGAATGATTAAATGAATGCCCAGTGTGTGTTGATATGGTTACATATGAAAAAATTGATGCTGAGAAAAGAAAAAAGTTACAATGGATTCTGAAGATAGTCTATAAAGTTATATAAAGATTTAAAAGAGGCAAACATCCTGCATAGAGCTGTCTGCTTGCAATCCCAGCACTTGGGATGCTGAGGCAGGAGAATAGAAAGTTCAAGGTCAGCCTGGGCTTTCTAATAAGTTCAAGGCCTCCTTGGCCTGTGTAGTGAGTTCAAAGCCAGCTTAGAGTACATAAGGAGACCTTGTTTTTGAAAAAAATGGACTCAGAAAACAGGCAAAGTTGATATTTGCTATCACATATGTTCTAGAACATAAACTCTTAGCACAGGAACATGCTAGAATGTGCAGGAATTTCAGGATGGTGCTTATCTCTGAGGAAGGAAGGAAGGTGAGGAATTACATCTAGAATAGTCACACAGAAAGCTTTTAATGTATTGGTAGTGTTCTGTTTCTTAAGGAAGGGATTTATTTTATTATTCCTTATATTTTTTGCATATTGAAATTGTAAATGAAGTGAATATTGCCGAAAAGAGCAGGGTCTGCTAAACGATCTAGTGGCCCAGTGAAACCAGGTGGGAGCAGGAAATCTGAGCCTGAGTCTCCCAGGGAAGAATCTGTTGTTCATCTGACTCAGTCCCTGCACAGAACATGGCTTATCCATGAAAAACGTGTATGAGGCAGCCCACATTTCACCTTCACGATGACACCTATGATATCTGGGTGTTTTGGGCAGACCTCTGTTTCAGATGTTGAGAGTTTCAGGCTTTTTGTGAAAGAACTAAATTCAGGATCCTAGGTCATTCCATAGTCACTCTCTACATCTCATAGGTAGATATTTGTGATAATCCCTGGGGACAGAGGTGACAAGTGTGGAGTGAATCCGTCATGGGCATAGGCAACATAGGTAGTTGAAGGCAAGGAGAGGAAGGTTATGGTATTCCCAGAGCTGACAGATACGTGCACTGACAGCTGTGTGCTTCCAGGTAGACCAATCCATGGGAGAGGGGAAAGCCCAAGCACGTACAATAGATGCATCTGTCTCTTATATGCTGATCTCCTCCAGGGCAGCATGGTATTCTATTTGAGAGTGCTCATTGGTACTGTTCCCTCGCAGACTCAGCAGTGATTCAGGTGACCAACTGGGCCTGATATAAGAGCATCTGATCTGGAGATGAACATAAAGATTTGATCTGTAAATAAACTAGCCCTGGAAATTTTGGATCATCACTTGGACCCGAAGGCAGGGCTCACTACCTTTCTTAGTTACTTTCTAGTCACTGAGACACAGTAAAACACTCACAAGTTAAAGGAGGAAAGGTTTACATTGGCTCACAGTTTATAGAGGCTTCAGTACATATTAGGCTGACTCCAAGGCAAGGCGGCAAGGCAGAAAAGAAACAGCTTTTGAAATGAAAGTCATAATCAAAAAATGATCAAGGAGGAGGGAGGGAGATAGACCCTTCCAGGCCATGGCTACAGTGACCCATCTCCCCCAACAAGGCCTCACCTCCCTACATTACAACTATAAACTCATCAGTAGACTCATCCACTGATGAATATCATGCCCCATGATCCAATCACTTTCCCAAAGCCCTACCTATGAGTGCATGAGACTTTGAGGTGACCTCTAGATACAAACCATGACACTCCCTTCCATTTAAAAACTCTCATGCTGGACAAGGGGTCCTCATTCCTTTTGGGAGAGCCTGTGTGAATGGCAGATGTGACCTGTTTCCAAAGGCAAATCAAGCTCTGCAATAACACTGCTTGGATAGAAACACACACTGCTCAGGTGGTGGCCATGACATTGCTGCTAATTTTCTGGAGCCTTGGCAGCAGTCCCGGAAAGGTGCAGGCAGGACCCACAAGGACCTCTACCCTTGGGTAAATGTCTCTGTTCAGAAAGCCATGGGTCTGCCAGGTTGGTCATGGAGGCTCTCTCTCTGAGGCCTTCTGGGCACTGAACCAACAGAAGTGAGTGGTTCTACACAAGCTCCTAGGCAAGAAAGCCACAGTGGGAGTGCAAGTGGCCTCTAGCCAGAATCCTGCCATTCATTGGCACCCAGTGTAAACTGAACATGCTGCTCAATATGGACAATAGCTGAGTAGACACTGAGCATTGGATTTTCTAGCTTCAGAGATGGAATGAAACATAGATTCCATTCCTTGCCAGAGAAAAGACTGGAAATTTCTTCTATATAATGTCTCTTACAACCAGGAAAGTCATCTCAATAAACAGCTCCATCGGAACAAAAACCAGAGAAGTCTTGAAGGATTGCTGGTGGTCATGGTGGGGGTGGGTTTTACTCTTTTTTTTACCTTTATTTTTTGAATGTCCACCCAGCATACATTTGAATGGCTGAGATAAATTTATTTGAAGGAATTTGATTCAATCAGACAATAGCCTTTGGTTTTCCAGATGTTCAAGCTTTGTCTTGCCAAAAATATTATACATTTCCGATGACTAGAAACCTCTCAGGACCCACAGGAGCCTCTTACACACTTTCACTGCAAGGCTGTGAGAGGAACCCTGCAGCCTTCATGGCATTTCATACCATGTACGACAAGTGAATTATCCTCAAATAACAAATTCCAGTAAACTTCTACTGATAGCAGATAGGAGAGGGGGCGTGAATGGATTTGAGATCCGATCACCAGTTTGGGCAGATTTTATTTATTCAAAAATATTTGCTGAGCACCCATTATGTGCTAAGTATGCCTCTGGGTGCTGGTGACTTCTCAAGGAACAAAGCAAAGTTCCTACATGAAGCTCTTGTTTCTGCAGAAGACTCACAGTGCACAGAAAAAAA